TTCTGTCGGTCATTTGCTTTTGTAATTTTAATAAAATTTCTATATCTTTAGACCTCGTGGTGGAGAAAATATCACGGCAAGTCAGTTTGTAAAAGCTCTTGAAGAAGGTCTTAATGCCTCACCCTTGGTCGCCAATTATTTAACTTACACTGCCCTTCAACAACTTGGAAAGCTATTCGATAAGTCTATGTATGCAAGGAAAATATAAATTTAAGAGCTACAGAGGGCCCCCGTTAATATCAATCTAAGCTATAAAATGAATTCTGTATCTTAAAATTATATTAAAGATTCCCTCATAAGTAAATATGGGTATTATGACGAATGTGGGAAAATGACGAATCGAACATATCAAGAAACCAGAATTTTTTATTAAATAAATCAAATTTATATAAAGTTGTTCAAAATGCCATCTTTTACTTCAAATTTTGGTGTATTACGGATAACTTTTTATTAATGGCATTTTTTCGTCATGAGCTTTGTCACAGAAATTAATTTTTTGCGCCAAAACGTATAACGAAAGCCCATAAATAAAAGTTATCGATAATGCACCAAAATTTGCGAGGAAGTATTTCGAACAACTTTACTTAGTAAAGTTCGATTTACTTGTAAAAAAAAATTGGGTTAACTAAAAATCGTTGAGATAAAGGTCATATGAAAGAAATTGTTAAAAAACGTTCGTCATTTTACCCTCGCGAAATTAAAAATCGTAGCCTTCTAAGTAACATCTCACGATTGATATATCATGAATTGTAAAAAAGCAAGTTTCTACGTATCAGATTTTATTTGTAAAAAGTGTCAGTTTCGTCATAATACCCACATTTACCTTATATATCAACTTTTAATATGATCCCTCGCTAATATCACCATCAACATGAATATAAAAGCATCTTTAGATTGATATTAATGAGGGGCCTCTGTATATCGATATATTAATTAATTAATTAATACTGTACTGTATTTAAAAGTAATCTTGACGATCTAAAAGAACCTAATAAGGTAGAACATGATGTATCGTTAACTCGAAAAGATTTTTACCTCGGTGATAACAACAAAGTAGATCCGGAATTAGTTGATTTATTGCTCGAACAGAATATTGATGGAAAAATTAACGAGGAAGCATTATCGAAACTTCATTGGATACGATTAAACAATTCAAAAAAATTTAATCCGACTCTATCGTATGATATTTCACGAAAATTTACTTCAGCAGGAGAATCTTCTTTATTATTAAATTTTGTTGGCAGTAATACAAATCTTGAGATTGATACTGAAAAATTGGAAGTGTTTTTGAAGCAAGAAAGGTTTCCCGAAGGATGGAGAAAGCCCAACAAGGCGGTTGGAGCTTGGTCACTCATTACCGTTATACGCTCATTGCTTAAAAGATATGACCAATTGGAGAAAGAACAGAAGGAACAAAATGCTGGCTAATTTTTTCGAATTATGCCTTTTTATGAAATATAGTTTAATATATGAGGATCAATTCTATATATAAAATATTTCTAACCAAAAAAAAAAAACGGTCTTTTTTTAAAAGCATACGAATGATTTTTTTTTTGTTATTTATTATAGCGACAAAGTTAACAGTTATTTTTTTGTTTTTTTTTAATACACGCAAATAAACTCAGAAAAAGAAATTATTAGTAAGATATCTGCCAACTAAAATTT